CGCCTCCGCGCGCCTTCTCCAGGCAGCGAGAGGGCGCGACTGCGGCTCGGGCGCAGGGCGCGCTGCCAGCTGCGGCCCTTTGGCGCGCGCTGGGCCCCAGCCTGGCTCAGCCCCGCGCGCCTCCCCTCCCCTCCCCTCCCCTCCCCGCCCAGGTGCGCCGGCCCCGCCCCGCGCCGCCCCGCCCTCTCCTGTGTCTCACCTTGGCCTGAGGATCTGGACCCCTCAGCCACTCCAGGAACCTGAGAGGAAAAGGGTAGGACACCCTGGACGCCGTCTCACCCATAGACGCGGGGTTCCCAGAATCCTCCACCAAACCCACTTTGCTACCCACCCCCAACTCCAGTTCCCTTCAGGCTGAAAGCCCCACTTCACTGCCTTTTCCTAACAGCCAGGGCGGACCTGGACTTCGATCAAGTGGCCGGGAAGTCTGAGACACGCCCTCCCCGCGAACCCTCCGTGCTTTTTGCACAGCCCAGCCCCAAATCGCAATCGCTATCCCTAGAAAAGGTTTGCGCCCAAGAACTTCAAAATAGGCTGTGCGTTCTGCTCCAAGTCAAACACCATGGAGACAGCATGGCCCCCACTACACTGTCCCCTCTTGGGCACACTCGCCTCAGCCTGAAAAGACGAGGGGAGAAAACTTGCATTGTTATGATAGCTGTTTAGCAAAATAGGTGCGCGTCTAGTGACCCGAAGGTGAATCCCAGCTAACGTGTTGGAACCTGACATCCCTGAAAGCCTGGTGCCGTGATGAATGTGCTGGATAAACTGAAGGCCAGCACGGTGTGAATCATTGTTTACACCGTTCCACACGCCAGGATAGTGAGCCGGGAGAGGAAGCTTCCAGCAGGGCCTTCAAATCCAGGCGGCGTGGGTCTCCATTACCCACGTCTTCAACAAAGGCCAGTTAGAACCTAAGACTTGTAAGAATTGAACAAGCTTGCTCACATTAAAAAAATAAATAAATAAATAACGTGGACAAGTAAGGATTACAGGAAGTCAGGGCCCTGAGCTGGTTTACTGTGTCCCCTTAACCACTCACGGGGAGATGCATGGCAAATACATATGGAAATGTGGCCATGTCAGGAGAAAGGAAGCATGACCTGTGACCTTTGACTGCAAAGAACTTAGATTTGGCCCAGGAGAAAATAAACATAAAGAAAAACAAAGGGTTGCCTTGTATGCTTGGTAATTGCCAAGTGAGTGTGGATAATGGGGATTCCGAGCCACAGGAGCGAGAAATGCTTCTGGCCTAGGATGGGCAGAGAAAAGTCCATGAAGGCCCTTTAAACTGTGCCTGAAAGCTGAGTGGGGAAGATTCAACCAGGCGGAAAGGAGGGAGGGTCCTTCTAGTAAAGCAGAAAACCATGAGAACAATGCCAGAACCTAGTTAAGCACGGCTTGTGTCACACTGGCGGGAGAGAGGGACCCATGATATCATGGGGAGCAGGAGATAATATCAGAACGGGTGCTGCTGACACTGCGGAAGGCCTTCAATCCTGTCACCATAGGCTGTGTGGAAAGAGCTCTGCAATAAACTGTGTAGTCCATTAGATTCCAAATACCTGTCACATCTATTTATTCCAGGCTGAAATCCCACTTGTATACACCAAACCATGTAAGACTTACCAGTTGGCGTAATGTTGAAATACTTCAGCTCCAGTTGGAAATCAGTCATTGCCTTGAGCCTCCAGACTTCCACCTGACACACCAACTGAAGGCCCAGGAGTCCTGGTCCAGTCCAGGCCCTCCAGGCTGCGTTCACTCTGATTAGTGGGTGCTTGTGCCATTTCCTTCCTGATGATACCTTTCAAATCACACCGCAAACCTCCTCTGCTCCCAGATTGCACACGTGTCTGCCCCCTGCTCCCGATTCTTGGTCTTTGCCGTCTTTCACACAGCTTCTCAATGCAAGACCAGGGGGCTCAGACTTCACCCTATAGCTTCTATGGCATTGACCAAGGGTCTAAAACTCACTATCAATAAAGGCCTTTGGAAAGTTGGCTTGAATTATGGTAATAAATGAAAATTGCTATTCAGCCACAGTATACAGCAGGCAACAGAGGATAGTTGGAATGAGTAAACAGAAGAGCCATGCCACTATTTAGCTTAAGTCGATCAATGTCCCACCCAGGACCTTTGCACTTGCTGTACCCTCTGCCTGGAATACTCTTTCTCTGCAATGCTGTTCAATAGAACTTTTTGCAACAGTGGGCATGTTTGTTTTGTAGCCACTACCCACTTGAAATGTGACTAGTGTGCCTAGAATAACTAAACATTTAATTTAATTTAATTTAATTTAATTTGAATTCGTATAAATTTAGATAGCTACATATGACTGCAGGCTACTCTATTGGAAAAGAACATTCTGGAAATCCATATTCCCTTTCTCTACTCAAGTTTTTTAACTGAAATGCCTCATTTCAGTGGTGTCTTCCATGACATGTGACTTAAAATTGTAGCCTTCCCCACCCACTCTTTTTTTTAAATATATTTTTTATTGAATTCAGAGAGAAAGGGAGAGGGGGAGAGAGATAGAAACATCAATGATGAGAGAGAATCATTGATTGGCTGCCTCCTGCATGCCCCCCAGTGATCCCCCACTGGGATCGAGCCTGAAACCCGGGCATGTGCCCTTGACCGGAATCGAACCCAGGACCCCTCAGTCCGCAGTACGACTCTATCCACTGAGCCAGACCAGCCAGGGCCCCCACCCACTCCTTTATTGTCCCCTTCCTGTTCCTCCACAGAGCTTATGGCCACACACCATTATATATCTTTTACTTGTTCATTTGTCCATTGTCTGCCTCTCCTCAGGGACCGATATTTTTTTCTTTTGTTCAGTATCTAGAACATATTAGTTTAGTAATTGAATTTCCACATATGAGAACCCAGTTTTTCAAAAGGACCCTAATCTGGATTTTGCAATGTTGAAAGTTTTTAAAAAAGTAAATATTATATATGCCAACATCACACAGATCAAACAAAACCACTGTAGTACTTGAGCCAATTTCTACTTAGGACATCATCAAAGCTAAATTTTATGGAAATACCTGTGTAAGAAAATACAAGTTTTATTGCCTATTTGCAGTGAAGGGATATTGGAGACCAGGAAGGTAACTCTGACAATTAACTAGCTACAAAGAGATGAAGGTCTGAATCAGGGGAGTCAATGGCAACAAGGGGAGGTTAGATGTTAGACTTTACAAAAGGAAGTTCCTTAGGCTTCTGACATGTGTGTTTGGAGGAGTAGAGAAGGATTTCAGGTGTTGCTGCAGATTTTATTTTACAAAGATGGCCAACACTGTATTCCTATCCCCAAGAGCTTCTCCAATATGATCTCGCCACTCACCCCCCTGAAGACACAAGGCTTATTTCTCCATCCCCTTGAACTTGGGCAGGCCCTGTGGCTACCTTGGCCAATGGAATACAGCAGAGGTAACGGTGCCAGTTCTGTAAGTAGTCCTTATTGTCCTGGTAGCTTCCACTTCCTGCTCTCTTGGAATGCTCACTCCTTGGAGGCTCCCACCCGGAACCCAGCTTCCTGCTGGGAGAAGCCCAAGACACATGGAAAGTTCATGCAAAGGTGCTCTGGCAGCTGAGCTTCCGTCCAACAACCAGCATCAACTGCTGACCATCTGTGCGCCACTCTAGGACACCGGTCCAGCCGAGCCTTCATATAGCTCCTGTGCCAACCAGCGTCTGACTGCAACCACGCACAGTTCAAGAACTCAGTGCAAGAACTGACAACTAGCAGGGTCCTATCAACTCACCAAACTATGAGGGAGAATATGGAACTGTTTTAAGGCAGTATGTATAGAGGTATTTGTTACACACCAGTAGAACACATGGTTCAGAAAGGCGTGAAGAATATAATCCCTTGTGAATAAAAAGGAAGGAAGTTTATATTCATTATTTGTATGCGGGTGAAGAAACTTGAAATTTCTTGCAAGTGGCTGGAATTGGCTACATGGGGAAAGGAAAGAGGAAATTTTTCATGTATAACATTTTTTAAAAAGCCATGAGACTGTGTTACCCATTTTAAAAATTCTATTTAAAAACTGGTTCCAGGTTTAGAGAAGTCATGGAAGTAGGGGAAGCTGTTCTGGGGGAGAGGGAAGTTAATTTTGCACAGCAGTTAAAGTGAGCAAACTAGAGGGCACCCAAGTGAAAATCTGACCAGCAAGAGCAGCTGCAGCTCAAGAGAAAGGACTAGAGATATAAATATGCCTGTGTCCCAAAATAGGATGGCAAAGGGTGAAGCCCGACCTTGTGCTCGGGGGTAGAGAAGGAGCAAAGACAGTCCACCCCTTCCCACGTTGGCCCTCGGAGGACATGCAGCAAACGACTTTCTGTTCCCAGTTGTCTGTGGAGTAGTGACTCTCATGGATTTTCCTCCTTTAATTTTTGTGGTCTCACGTGATTACCCTGAATATCAAAGAGAGCGCCTTTTGGCTGGGATTTCCCTTGTGTTTCCCCACTCCCTGAGTTCCTGCTTGTCTCCTAATAAATGTACAAAATGCTTGTCATGCTAATGAGTCTCCCAACACCTTGGTGAATCCTCCTTGGAGTCCATCCCTTCCCAACATCCTCTGGTTTTACGTTTTCCCCCTTTTAAGATGTTTGGCATTGCTTTACCAACTCTCAAAACTGGATAACCTAAGTGCAATTTATTTCCCTGTTCAAGCCTGCCAACACGTCAGTATGCAATGATCAAAGTGGATTGAATGTGACCTTCCCTAGGACTAAGGTTGAGCAGTGGGTGACCAGACGGCAGATAGAAACCCAGTACTGTCCATAATCCTCTACTGAGAATGCGAATGCCAGATAGAACTGTGTATGTGGCACTACTGCTATTTTTATGTTTTCTTGTGGAATGAATATGCAATTGGGAGAAATATAGAAAAATAATGAAACATGTTTCAAACCTAAAAATGTGAAGCCTTACTCATTTCATTTTCAAGAATCCTAAATAGAATGATCTGCCATCAAACTGTTCATGACAACCCTGTGTGATACTGCGCTGTTATTTTTGTAGTACATCACGTAGCAGGCGTCATGCAAATATTCCCCTTGGGATGATACATCTTCTTTACACTATTTGCATTGGTGGCTCCAGCCCGACACTGGCTGATAAGGATGGCTGCCATTCCTTGTAAATTTATCTTCTATTCATTACACTCACAATCTTGAGATAAAATCTGTCTGCTCATGCCTTTTCATATGTTATTTGTGGTTATTCTCCTGGAAATTTCCTTTAAAAAAAAAAGTCAGGTGTGAAAGTTTACCAGTTT